TTGTTTTATATCCTATATAGTAGATGTAGCCAAGACATACTTCTGAAGTAAGTGCTTTCGTTCCCTACACACAATCCAAGTACTGCAATTTTTACAATTTGATGTGTCCCCCTTTTTGTGACACGTCATGTGTCTGTGTTTGTGCTTCATAGTTGAAAACTACTATGCTTAATTTTCAACTATATATGTTTCATGAATATGGAAGTAAAAAATCATATAGAACCTACAAACAATTTAAATCATTGGTCACCTTCACTTTTATTCAAACCTTTCACTGTACTTGTAAACCCAAATTGTATTGAAATATTCAAGAAACATTCGGTGTTTTTATCCTACAAATATGATGAATAGATAGTAATTTCTCAGTTCAATTCTAAAATGTTGAAAGGATTCTTAATTTTTATAATTTGGTTGTTTGTGCTCAATGACACATTTCTCAATTAGCAATAAACAAAATATTACCAGTTTGACCATATGCAAAGCAAGTTGCTTTTGTTCGTTGGAAAATCAGCGGAACAACTGGCTCCACAGTCTCGGCATACACCTAGAGCAAAATAAAAAGTCATTAATCTAGTGAAACCATTGAAAAGTTAGTCAATAATCTATGGTCACAAGAGCCGCAACTAGCCAAATACTCACTTCATCATTTGAAACACCTTCATTCAGCACAGCATCGAAAACAAACTCGTGTTTCTCAACATATTCTGTTAAGTCAACCTGCAGACACAGGTGAAGTGGAGATATAACTCAGAAAAAGGTAAAATACTCAAACGCCCGAGTTCAGTATGAATGTTTCAATTGTCAAATCGAAACATTAATGAATCACCAATTAGAAAATTCTTGACCTTAGTAATTGTCTCTTTGACACTAATTGTAAGGTTCAGTCAGAGTGACTTTAATTGTTTAGACACAGATCACAGAATGAGAAAGAGCAATTTTGAAATTATTGACACTGGCTTGAACTGCATTGAAATTTGAACCGTTGACATGAAAGGTTGTCCAAATCTAAGTCAATCTACTTTCTATTATTTTCCCCTTACCTTTACTTTTAAGAACTATGCAGTTACTTTGGATTTGGATACAAATAAGTGAGCAAAACCCTTATTTAAATTTTCCAGGATCGTTGGCAATATATTTTGAGGAAGTTTATATTTATCAAATTCTATTAGGCATAATTAGCTTTGAAATGCAACTTATGTTCTAAGCATTCTTTAATAGAACGTATAAAACATGAGACATTGCACATGTGGATGTTGTTGAAGTATCAGAGTCAAAAGCAGCAGAGAGCATTATATCATGATGTTCAGTAGTTTGGTTGACCCATAAATTGCTTACGAAAAGTAGTTTGTTATTTTATGTCAAAATATCGCATGCCAACTGCTGCAAAGGCAGCATAAAGTAGTTTGTACTGAACTTAATAATATATATTTAAAAATAAATTCAACTCACGGTTCACATCATGAAAATGTAGATTTTATTGACAACCATCCACTAACTCACCTTTAGTTTTCTTTCATGCACTGTGAGAAAATTTGAATCTATGGAAATGATATCTTCCTCTCTCTTTGTTATTTCCTTCTTATTTAGTGGTCTCTTCCGAACCTGCAACAGAAAACAGCATTATCAAACAAAATGCAATTGTTACAGGCACTAAAGGCCCTTAATTAATCAACTAAAGAAAAAAGCACACGGGGAACTAAAAGGAAACACACTGCTAGAAGCATACCACAACTTTGATCTTGGCCACATTGTTCGCTCTCTCTTTATCTGTTGAGACACTTTTAAGGAGATGGCTCTCAGGCAAGCCCCGAGACCTTTGTACAAGTTTGTTGCCAGAAAGAATTGACTCATAGTCATCAAAACTTTGTCCCCGAACAGTATGATTTGTTAAATATTCATTGTGAACACCATACACCTATTCCAAATCAAATTAAAATTTACAGTCACTCGTGTGTTCACACAAATCATCATGCTGAACACCAAAAACCTAATTAACTAGCAATCATCATGCACGATTCACTAAAATAATTAGGCAACAAATAAACACTAGCATCATGCTCATTCAAGCAACTCGGCTCAATTCAAACTGAATAATTCAAACATATTACTAGCTTTTCTTGCTTAATCTTCACAGGTTATAAACTAATAGGCCTATTTGATCATAAGCTTTTTCCGTGCACAAAATAAGCAAATCCAAACACACAGAAACACACCAAACCTCAGGTAAAAGTTCGGTATCGAAGGAATGCAGATCAAGCAAGCCACTGGTCAAAACGCGATCATCGTCGTTTTTCCTTAAGCTCGAAGATCGAGTCCCGAACTCCTGCATAAAACGATTCGTTCCGTACACACACATAAGACTTAGCTCTCGCCGTGTTCGATTTTCACATAACGAAACAAATGATCGAGTGAGCGTAAACGAAAACGAAAAGCTCACCTGCGCGAAACTCGAAGAGTGTAACCACCTTCCGTGAGCGTCGAGGATGAAGTTATCGGAGCTCTGACGGTGGTGGTGCGCTGCCGAACTGGATCGCGGCATCCTCTCCCAACCACACTCATCCACTTGGAGATTCTCTATCGATTTCTCGTTCCAGCACGAGTATGCAAAACGCACTAGGACGAGACGAGAAATAGAGTCAGAACTGGAGAATCAAACGGAGAAGAACGGTTCAACGCTTATCATACTTCCTCTCTCTCTCTCTCTTTCCCTTTCTTATAAACTCCTCTTGA